CGAGCGGACAGCGAAATCATCTCACCCTTACTCCTATGGCGTCCTTCATCTCACCCTTACTCCTATGGCGCCCTTCTTCACGGGACTCAGGGTTGGACAATAGGGATTTGGGGAGAGCAATGAAGGACCGAACAGCGTGAAAACGAATTGCCAATGGAGGTCAGACAAACCAGGTCGACAAATGATGATGATGATTGTTGTGGATTCCGGGATGAAATCCAGTCTCAAATGAATGACAAACGCAGGAATGAAATATAGCAAATAAATGTATTGACGTAATAATACAATTGGTAATACGGTTAGTAGATCCAGAAATGCGGTTAATAGCAATAATAATATATATACAGTCTGGGAAATTCAGTATCGGAGTATGACTTCCATCTGAGTCTACATGCTCGCAACTGTGACTCCTACAAAGCGGTTACTTCACACTCTCACTCTCTCACTGGTCTCACCTCCGGGTATTCACCGGCAGCAATACAAGTACACACTGGGCGAGTCCACTTGTATAAAAAGGGGTGGACCCCTTAATAATGATCATGATGATCTTCATGGCAGAAGAACTACATTCCCTAATGCCGCCTGTTCAAACTTCACAGTTAGAACACGCGATGCCAATACACAGGGTCGAAAAATCCTCATCAACTCCCTATTCCACTGGAGAGGAGGAAATTCCACTCAGCTTCTTCCCTATAATTGTTGCCTTATGGGACGGGTCCCGACAAGATGGTTCCCCGATCACTTTAGTCTTGACCATTTCATGTCAACCGTTATCTAACCTTCATAAACATGAATATGCTTCCCTTGCTCACTCGCTGTACATCTTTAAAACAGTAACACTCTGCCTTGAGTGGGTTTTTGTTCTCGTATTGGGTAAACAAAAGAAAAAAAAAAGATAATTCATATTAATAGCCTAACGGCGAAGGGTGCCGACTTTGGATAAAATGAGCGCACTCCAAATTCTAAACCAATCTCTTAAGTTCCATTCCGATTAACTAGAAAGACAGGAAACCATTTCTTCTCTCCCTACACCCTGTATCTATTAAATCCGCAGATATCGGGGTTAAAACCAACTGCCAAGTGGATGCTTTCCCAATCACTGCAATCTTAAACGGTTCAAGTCTAGGTTTAACCATTATCTTCCCCATTTATCCGCGTAAACTGTGTATCATGTTCTGTAAAGCTCTTCTTCCGAGGAACCGCTAGTTGATCGAACCGACTCCCAAGTGGTTGCTTCCTTGAATACGACAATCTTAACCTTTTCAGGTCTAACATTAATCGTTATCTTCTCCCACATATCCACATAAACTGAACCTTTCACTCTTTATCCCAGCATTCGCTACTTCCTTGAACTGACTCCCAAGTGGTTGTTTCCTTGATTACTACAATCTGAACCTTTTTCAGGTCTAACATGAATCGTTATCTTCTCCCACATATCCACATAAACTGAACCTTTTACTCTTTATCCCAGGATTCGCTACTTCCTTGAACTGACTCCCAAGTGGATGCTTCCCGATTACTACAATCTTAATATCTTCAGATATAGGGTTAACTGTTATCTTCTCAACATATCTGCTTAATATTATTTACTCTGTGATCCTCTACCTCGAGTGGATCTCGGCCCGTGTACAGGTTGAACACTTTTGAAAGAAAACAATATAGCAAGTTATATTGTTGAATTAAATTAAAGGATTGACCAAGACTATCAAGAGCTAGTCGAAATATTTCCATGAAATAAGTTATTCGTCGGAACTACATTTTTTTCTTTTCTTTATGCAACTACCAACGGAGACAAACATCCTAATTTTGATACGAATAAGGCATGGACTTCACTAAAAAAAAAAGCGTATGCTTTTACTTTGTAAACGTTATCAACTCGTTTTTTTCCCGTGATTTGAATTCGTAAGCTTTTCTAGTTTCTTTGCACTTTATTCAAATTAAAGGAGTGACCAAGGCTAGCAAAAGCTAGTCGAAAAATTTCCAGGAAATAAATCATTCGTTAGAACTACAAGTTTTTTTTTTCTTTTAAATAGATTGTATTGTTTTCTAGCGCGTTTGACCCTGTCAGATCTGACGTTAGTAAACTTTAAATTCATCAACTGGCAGGAGGCAATACGAAAGCCGTATTTTAATCCAGGAATCATGTCTGTTCACAGATATTAAAGAAAAGAAATACATGGAGAATAATGTTCTGCGTTATTAAGAGATATATTATTCTAAAAATTCTTATTTTATCATAATTTGTATTTTTTTTTGTTTTTTAATTAAACAAGTATATTTTATGTTTTATAAGTAGAATGAACATTTGAAATGATTCACTGTAATATTGCATTATATTTGTAAAAGGATTTTCTTACAATTATTTATTCATTACGTATTGAATATGAAACTGAAAAGGGGACATTTTATTAGCCATTGAATAATAGCGATGTCTACGGTAATAATAGTTTAAATATCTGTAACGCAGAAAAGTGAAACAGCGATCTGTCTATATATTCAGTATATTCATATCTATCTATCTATCTATCTATCTATCTATCTATCTATCTATCTATCTGATTCTCTTTCTATTCTTACTACATGCCAGCATCGTAATATCTATTTCAGTCTATACGTATCTCTCTCTCTCTCTCTCTCTCTCTCTATCTCTCTATCTATCTAATTCTATACTCTTACTACATGTCAGAATCTTAATATCTATCTATTTCAGTCTATACGTATTTCTCTCTCTTTCTCTCTCTCTCTCTCTATCTAATTCTATACTCTTACTACATGTCAGAATCTTAATATCTATCTATTTCAGTCTATACGTATCTCTCTCTCTTTCTCTCTCTCTCTCTCTCTATCTATCTATCTATCTATCTAATTCTGTACTCTTGTCAGAATCTTAATATCTCTATTTATTTCAGTCTATACATATCTATCTATCTATCTATCTATCTATCTATCTATCTATCTATCTATCTATCTATCTATCTAATTCTCTTTCTATTCTTACTACATGCCAGCATCTTAATATCTATTTCAGTCTATACGAATTTCTCTCTCTTTCTCTCTCTCTCTATCTATCTATCTATCTATCTATCTATCTAATTTTCTACTCTTACTACATGTCAGAATCTTAATATCTATTTCAGTCGATACGTATCTCTCTCGCTTTCTCTCTCTCTCTATCTATCTAATTATATACTCTTACTACATGTCAGAATCTTAATATCTCTATTTATTTCAGTCTATACATATCTATCTATCTATCTATCTATCTATCTATCTATCTATCTATCTATCTATCCATCCATCTATTTCTCTTTCTATTCTTACTACATGCCAGCATCTTAATATATCTCTATTTCAGTCTATACTTATCTCTCTCTCTCTCTCTCTCTCTCTATCTATCTATCTATCTATCTATCTATCTATCTAATTCTGTTTCTACACTTAACATATGAGCATCTTAATATCTACCTACGAGAGGCGAAAAATGACGCGTCATCTTCGCATTAGAAGGGCAACCGACATAGAATTGGTATTAATCAGTATCTCTTTCAGTTTATACATCTCTATCTCTCTCTCTCTCTATCTATCTATCTATCTATCTATCTACTATATATATATATATATATATATATATATATATATATATATATGCATATATATATATAAATATATTTGATTATGTTTCTATCTTCACATGTTAACCTCTTTTATATATATATATATATATATATATATATATATATATATATATATATATACAGGGTGTTTCAAAAATTTGATATCCTTTGAGATGTAAATATCACAGAAAGTACATGATTAAGGAAATGAAATTAAAAAGTATTAATGTTGAAGATCATAAGATTTATTCTTCCAAATCTGAATGAAAAATTCAAAAGCATGTGGTTTATGTGGACGATTTCACAAATGTGAAGTTTGTGATCGTCCGGATCCTTTTGCTCTGCACAGACAGCCTTTCTTCTTTGAACTTTTTATGCCATCTCAAATCTGCATTCCTGTTGGTGACTTTCTAGAGAACTCTCTCATAAATGCACGCTGCACAGTCTTGTTTGACTGTGTTCTAGCAAACTCAACACACAAAACGCCTTTTTCTCTTCTAGTAAATAGCATTTTTATACCTGGAAAGAAAAAGATTAAAGATTAAAGAACATAAAAATACAAATAAGAAAAACACAAAACATAAAGACATAAAAAAAAACAAACATTAAACATAAAGATGCTATTAAAATTTGAAGTCATTTGAAGGAGATCTAACAAAGTTATTAGATTGCGAAATGATATCAAATTTTTTTTTTGAAATATATATATATATATATATATATATATATATATATATATATATATATATATATATATATATATATATATATATATTGTGCATATATGTGTGTGCATGTGATGCAGTGGTGAAGCGGATAGTGATTCAGAATGACATGTCAGAGGGCCGAGTTCGCATTCCACGCAAATAATTTTAGCAATTACTCTTAGCAAAAAGTAAGAATCCATCAGCGGAAAATGGCTGAAACTGAGATGCAACATCAGGATGGATAACATCACGGTTAGTTAAAGGTAATTTATATAATTACAGTTTAGATAGAATTGTTGGCTGAAACTCCTTTCTGAGGCCAAAAAATTCGCCGACCTTCTGTCCAGTGTCAGTAGCGATGGATCCTATATACAAGTCTCCCTTGATGTTTGAAATGAATTTGAATCCCCGAAACTCTCAAAACAAGGATCCACTTTGAGGTTGTAACCATGCATCAGGACTGCTGAGAAGTCAGCATCAGTTCGGTGATGGTGGAAAGTGAATAGCTTAGTCTTTGAGATAGAATTATGTCTGAAGAATATTCTTTAAATTGGTAAGCATTAGAATAATGGGTTATTTGTACAGTGTAAGGGGTCCTGTTAGCTCTTGGAGAAAAAGAAGGTAGCAGGAATCTCACTAAATCTGAACGAATACAAAAACCCATTAAATCACCAAAAAGAATTTAACTTAAAAATCTTGTAAATAAGCACCCGTTTATCTTGTTTGTGGTGAATTGTCATTTCGCAACTGAAATCGACCTATGAAATGGCAATTTTTTGAAGATTTTTGTACCTGTGCATAATGCGTACCCCTAATTTTGCTTATTTTTTTTTTTTTTAGAAAAAGATGCGTATTATACATGGGGAATTACGGTATGTGTATGCAATGTTCTAATTTCCCTCGGTCAATCTAAAAGAGTTAAAAGATCCTACTATGCCTTTAGAATTAAACTCAAAAATGTAAATATATAGTTAAACTGCTAAACAAATGTGCATTTAAAATGTCGTGTCTTCTTCCTAACTACTTTATTTCTGTCCTTAGAAAAAATCTGCTGGGATAGCCATGGTCACTAATGCAACCTCTGTGATATCGTGAAACGACCACACTCTACACACTTTCCTTCCACGGACTGTTATAAACAAATGGCGAAATTAGTGTGCTTGAATTCAAGATCAGTCTGTGCCAACCAGTTTAACATTGCGTCCTTTAGCTCCGTTGTCATATCAACAGTCTACATACTTTTTTGATTAGATTTCGTATGCATAAAAAATCATAAATACATGAGTATATAATATGTAAGACTATATTTTCGAATGCAAACATAATCAAACATGCAACCCTGTTAAAATGTAGCCTAAAAATGTAAAAATATATTTGTGAAAAGATAAACATAGTTACCTCCACAGAAACGCAATAGCAAATATTTAAAATTAATTTTAAAAAATGAAAAATCTTTTTTGAAAATTTATTCTAGTTTTAATTTCAAACCAAATGATTAAAATTAAAGACGTTGCTGTATCTCAAAACTAATTTAAATTGAATGGAAGTAACTTTCATTTTGACAGTGCTAAAATAACTGATGCCATATTTCATCAAAATGTAGTTCTCTTTAGTAAAAAAAGTCTTTAGAAATAATTTTCTGAAATTTTACTTGAGGAATATTAGCTGATTTAATGTTTAATTAATCCGATGTGAAACAGGTATTACGTAAGGTTAAATGCCGTAGACAAGTCCATAGATGAAGACGGAAGTTTATCTAATTCTGTAAAATTTACATGAGGAATATAACGTAAAAAATATTTTATGTAATTTAAAATGTTGGAAAATATTCTCCGTAATCTAATGTTTTATTGAATTTCAGGTATTTTGGCTTTAAATTTTCAATAGTTATCGCTTTTATTTTCTGGTAATATCGTATATGGACTTCCGTATTTACAAAATCGGCACGTTTATACACACAAAAACATTTCAAAATTCTTTTTTAAATAATGATGGTCAATGAATTGTATTAAAGTTTTCCATTTATGATTAGTATATATAGGATTTACTTAATAATATAATATGACTGGGACAAATTAACACAGAAATTTAAAATATTTTATACTTTATATATTATTCTGATTAAAATGTTCAAAAATAAAAACAGTTATTGTAAAAATTCATCATTTATCGATTATTTTTCTGAAGACGATGGTGAATATAATATATGTCATTCATAAAAGTAATTAAAAGCTTCTCTAATTAAATAATGTTTTAGATTTATTGCATTTTTTTTTTACGATTCAAATTTTGGGTAAATTGGGGCCCTGTTTAACAAAAAGAAATGCAATTTTAAATTTTCCAAAGAGTTCGACTTTTAACTAATATAAGCGATAAGCTGAAGAAAGTGAAGTTTCTCAAAATTTCATAAAATTAAATAAGTGGGAATTAACAGATGTAAAGAAAAGTATTTTCACCAAGATTTTCCAATAAAAAAAAAAAATTCTAAATTAATTTCATTCAATTTTGAATAAATCTTGAAAGTTTCAATAAAACCCAGAGAATTATTTGATTCTTCCAAGAATTTCCAAATCAATGTCTTTTTCACCGCAAAAAAGAAACTAAAATTTCCTATACGCACATAAAGTGCTGACACACACACACACACACAAAAAAAAAAAAAAAAAAAAATTTGGAAAAATATATTTTAATAATCAAAAAATCTTTTGGTCTTTCTCTTAATAATGGCATATAGATTTTGACTATAAAATTTTCTTTTTATTAAGTTTGACGCATTTTTCCATTATGATATGTGAATTTCTTACCGAAAACATAGATGAACACCTGCGTACATATGTTGTGACTATTTTTCGAATGTTTAACTCAATCCAGCTGCCATGTTACAATTTAACTTAAAAAGGAAAAAGAAATATATACGCAAAACAGAAAATGACTGAATATATCAAATCTTGTGACTTATTCCTCGCCCCGTTGCAATGGTTAGTTTATCTGACTAATATATCAAATGTTGTGACTTATTCCTCGCCTCGTTGCAATGGTTAGTTTATCTGACTGATATATCAAATCTTGTGATTTATTCCTCGCCCCGTTGCAATGTTTAGTTTATCTGACTGATATATCAAATCTTGTGACTTATTCCTTGTCCCGTTGCAATGGTTAGATTATCTGACTAATATATCAAATCTTGTGATATATTCCTCAACCCGTTGCAATGGTTAGTTTATCTGACTGATATATCAAATCTTGTGACTTATTCCTCGCCTCGTTGCAATGGTTAGATTATCTGACTGATATATCAAATCTTGTGACTTATTCTTCGCCTCGTTGCAATGGTTAGTTTATCTGACTAATATATCAAATCTTGTGACTTATTCCTCGCCTCGTTGCAATGGTTAGTTTATCTGACTGATATATCAAATCTTGTGATTTATTCCTCGCCCCGTTGCAATGGTTAGTTTATCTGACTGATATATCAAATCTTGTGACTTATTCCTCGCCTCGTTGCAATGGTTAGTTTATCTGACTAATATATCAAATCTTGTGACTTATTCCTTGTCCCGTTGCAATGGTTAGATTATCTGACTAATATATCAAATCTTGTGATATATTCTTCACCCCGTTGCAATGGTTAGTTTATCTGACTAATATATCAAATCTTGTGACTTATTCCTCGCCTCGTTGCAATGGTTAGTTTATCTGACTAATATATCAAATCTTGTGACTTATTCCTTGTCCCGTTGTAATGGTTAGATTATCTGACTAATATATCAAATCTTGTGATATATTCCTCACCCCGTTGCAATGGTTAGTTTATCTGACTGATATATCAAATCTTGTGACTTATTCCTCGCCTCGTTGCAATGGTTAGTTTATCTGACTGATATATCAAATCTTGTGACTTATTCCTCGCCTCGTTGCAATGGTTAGTTTATCTGACTGATATATCAAATCTTGTGACTTATTCTTCGCCTCGTTGCAATGGTTAGTTTATCTGACTGATATATCAAATCTTGTGACTTATTCCTCGCCTCGTTGCAATGGTTAGTTAATCTGACTAATATATCAAATCTTGTGACTCATTCCTTGTCCCGTTGCAATGGTTAGATTATTTAACTAATATATCAAATC